GGCCCGGCCTCGGCCGCAGTGGTAAGGGAGGGAGTCGTAGGGAGACGTGAGGGGGCCCGATATGAGGGACCCCGATACCGGAGGGTCTGTGGTGGTTAATGACTGCAGGGCCCTCCAGCCTGGTGCCCTGCTTGGGGTGGCAGCGCTTGCAGATGCTTGTCTGGAGAATAAGATTTCCCTTGGTGCTCACCAGCCTTCCAGCAGCTTTTGGCATGGGGATTTCTTGAAACGGGTAACTTTTGTCTATTTCGATGCCTTCAGTACTGTTCTCAGAAAAAGAGTGTAGGACATAAGCTGAAAGCAAACTGTGATGGAGCTGTTTTCTGTGCTGAAAGGCATAATTTTTCATATTTTTTGCCGGCAGTTGTAGGTCCTTATGTTTATGTACAGCTACACTTGTCTTTATTTTGTGCAAAGTGGAGTATCTTCTACAGTCAGGTTGGAATATGATATTTTAAGTTATCTTATACAAATTTTGTAGGTAATGGCTACTTCTGTAACTAAAAAAATCTCTCTCTTAGTATATACATGGCACCACCAATACTAATCCATTCGTCTTTGCAGGTAATCATGGATCAGGTAATGCAATTTGTGGAACCCAGCCGTCAGTTTGTAAAAGACTCCATACGACTTGTTAAAAGATGCACCAAGCCTGACAGGAAAGGTAAAACACAGTAAGACGGAACACAATCCTGATTTCATCTTAACATCTTAGCGCGTATCTTTCCATATGTCACTTCTGTTGAATCATTTGTTGTGAATGTTTCTCATCTTCCCGTATGAGACTTAAACTTGAGCAGTTGTCCAAATTTTAATGGGTTTATGGTTCTGGGTACAATAAACTTGAATGTGTCCTTTTCTGGCCTGTGTGTAGGTGCGCGAGTGGTACTAAAACTCGCCTTAGGAAATAGGCTAAGTAGCTGAAATTAGCCATTTTGAGACAGGCAAATAATAATAATCATGTATTAGGTAAACTGATCTGAGAAGAACTTGCTTGCGCTTTGAAAAGACAAATGCAGTAGTCAGGTTTGACTGATTGCAGTAAACTTGGGGGAAATTCTGGAGGAAACACTTCATTTTAGGAGACTCGAAAGGAGCTAGGATTGCTTTTTGCAGTGCCCATTAGTACTTCACAGTTGTCAGTGACTGCCCACTTGGGACAGGAAGAACTTTGTTGCTGGAAGTACAGATGAGAAGGGGTTTGGACTTTCTCAAAGGCATCAGAGAGAAGCTATGACTACAACCAGAATGCAACTGGTTGTCCTTAACGGTAGTAGTTATGATGCTTTATTCACATGCTCAGGATGAAGTTTACTTTTGAGATTAGTAAGGAACTTCATTCATTGTCAGACTGGCAGGGTTGTTGACCTTCTTAATCCACTTCATGGTTGCTGCCTTAAAATAATTGAGAATATCACTTAAGTACTCTATTTTTGCGGGTACTAAGGATGCTGTCTTCCTGTGACAGACATAAGTGCAGCTTTGCCATTTTTGATACTGTATTGGGAATTATTTTCAGGGCTTGTAGGGGTATGAAGGAAAGATAACGGAATAAATGTTCCACGAATTGTAACGGGCTGTGGCTGTTTCTGATTCTGCTTATTATTTTAAAAAATTGAGATCAGTCACGCTTTGTAGAAAGCAGCATCTTCTCTCTTAAAATCTTATCTGTCTTCTTCAGAAGTGGATGTTTCTCAAGGTCAATACAGATTGCTTTTGAGCTGCTTCCTGTGCTAACAGTACCATATTCTAAAGAGAGATCTCTCCTTTGGGCACTGTAGCCCACATCTCCTGCGTGCCATACTCGAGGCTTCCTTAAACTAAAATTTTTTTGGTTTTGCAGAGTTCCAGAAGATTGCCATGGCAACAGCAATAGGCTTTGCGATAATGGGATTTATTGGTTTCTTTGTGAAATTGATCCATATCCCAATCAACAATATCATTGTGTAAGTAAATATGACCTTCAATTTCACTAAACTTTACATTCATTTTTACCTGTTCAGTTTTAAATAGAGGATGTCAGTGAGCCCTACGGGATCCATGTTTCTCTAGTATCTGTGCATTTCACACGTTAGTGTGATATGACAGTTATTACTTGATTCAAAGGACTTGATGAGGAAGTAGGTTGTTAATTCAGCATGCTGCAAAATACTAGATCCATAGTTCTTCAGGGTTTTTTTTTGAGTATCCTGCTTCAAAACTGAACGCCAAATATTTTGATTTCTAGTTCCTCAGTGTGTGTTTGACCATAGAATATTTACCTTATTTGGATCTTGCACACTCTTACTGTTTCCAGTTTATAATTTGGGTATCCAAAGTAAATGCATGGATGGTAAGGTAGAGGAAACTGAGTGAGTGTGCTGGAAGGTGACAGGGTACAGAACAAAGCTGGTCTTGTTTCATTTACTGAGTGCTAGATGTGTTTGAAACTTTGCTTTATGTGTAGCTGCATGCTATAAAATACCTTTTGGAATGAATGTTGCAGCATGAAAAATTTGACGCTGAAGTGGACTAGCAGCCATGGTACTGACATATTAACACTACCAATTAGAACTCCTCAGGTTCTCCAAAGCTGATGTAATCCCTTTTCTAGCACTGGAACAGGTTAAATGCTGTTCCGTGATTCTGACATGTGGCTTGCTTGGTCCTCTAGGCAAGGAGAAATATTTGAAGATAGGAGATAAGCTGTAATGGTGGTAATGTTTGTCCTAACAAGGCTGTAATGGTAGTGATGTTTGTCCTAACAAGGCAATGGTGGGAGGATAAATTAGACTTCAGATGGGATCACTTCATCACACTTGATTAGTTGAAACTGATGACTTTGCTCTCTCAACAGAGGCGGCTGAATATTCATCATGAAGAACAAGATGTTGTGACACTTGCTGCAAAGATTTCACAGCTTTAACTTGTTTCCTATTAAACAAGCTCAGTTTGGGTTTTCAAACATTCTTGTCATCCTGATCCTCTTTTAAAGTGTATGCGCTCATCCTGTCGACATTACGGGCTTTTTTGTTTTCTGTAGTAGTAGAGTGCTTTGTTTGTTTTGTTACTTCTTTCAACTGTAATAGACTCTTTCAGGTGGGAGGGAACCTTGGGAGGTCTGTAGTCCAGCCTCCTGCTCAATGCTGGGTCGGTGTTGCATTCTGACAAGGTTGCTTAAGGCTTTGTCCAGTTGGGTATTGAAAACCTCCGAGGGTAACAACTGTACAGCCTCTCTTCAGAAGCTGTTTCAGTGCTTAATTTACTGCTTAGTAAACAGCACTGTTCCAGCAAAAGTAGACAGCAAGAAAACAGCATTACTGTGTCCTCTCAAGTGGTGATTTAAAAGTCTATCAACTGAAATTCTTGTCACTAATTTCTGGAATCACAGTCATTACCCCTAATTCCTTTATGTATTTGGAAGTTCTATTAGGTTATATTATGGAGAAAAACTCCATCCAATAAAGAACTTGCATTTCCCACCCTTATTCTGATGGCATAATTAAAGAAAGCCAAACTTAGTTGTTTACTGAGGTGTACAGTTTGAGGTTAATCTAGTTGTCAGAGATACTAAGCAGTCCTTCAGTGAATCAACAGCTTGCTCGTGCTGCTGGATAGGGTATACGCCTGTTTTGGATACCGACTCTGCAAGACAACTGCACATAGAATTCTAAAGGGCTCTGCATTTGTTGACCTGGAAGTTTCCATTATTAAATGATTGAATATTTTGATTTTAAAAACTGGTAGATGCAATGCTCTTCCTCCTCAGATTAAGAAATTTTAAATTTCACTCCATAAAGCTTATTGTAAGCATTTGGTATTTGCAGAAGTTGCAATGCTACTTCTGTTACAGACTTTAAAACCACTTACTACTGGGAAAACCGGATATTGGTATTACAGCAAAACTGAAGCTTCTTCAGTGCACAAACTTGCTTCATAAGAAGAAAAGTACAATTATTACTCTTGAGAAATCTTCACCAGCACCTACATGTGTTACAAACCAGGACAGGAAAAAGAGATTAACTATTCCTAGTACTATGATCTTTTAATATAGTTATACTATATGCCACTGTGTACTGTATTTCCTTTTGGCAAAAGGGGAAAAAATAGTTCAGTATTGGAAGAAAATACTTTGTAAAAATAGTCTGAACTAACCACATAAGCATTTAGTAGCTTCTTTCCATTCACTTCTGTTTGTGATTGAACTGGGTGGCAGCTCATGTGTCTTCTGATTAAGCAGTGTGAGGTACCAGAATGAAGTACTCAGTTATTGCCACTAATCTTGATTTGATCTCAAGCAACTTTTATTTCAGACTTGTTTTCCATACAATGCATAAAATCGGTGCCTGCTTATATCTTTTTATAGAAGCTTTACTGTCGTAACTCAATGAAATTTTGCAGTAATTTGAGTTGAGTCAGATCAGAAAAGGGAGCTGTAGCTGATGTTTTCTTTGACAGCCATTGTCCACAGCAAAGGCTTGTCCGTCTCAATGGTCACAATCCCAGAGTTGTCATAGGTGTTGGAAGTACTGATGAGCGTTCCAAACTTCAGCACCTGGTTAGCTATGAAAAATAAGTAAGAGACTTAGTGGTACTCTTGAAACAAATGCATTGATGTGCATTTATTGTTGTAAAGACTGCTGCTCCCGCAAAGAAGCAAAAAACAGCTGAGTAAATCTAACCCAGATAAACAACATCTAAAATAGCTATATTAAATATTAATTAGAAGGCTTGTATGAGACTCTCCAATGACCTGTAGAGGGAATAAATTAATACTTAATCCCCAAATTAGCATTTTGAGTTTACAGCAGATTATTACAAAAGCAGATTGTTGAATGTTCCCCAGAGTTTCACATCTGGAAATTTGTATTTCATTAGCATCAGCTCAAGTACCAGTGCTAGACAAGGCATTTAAAGTAAAACAAGGCAGAGGATCTCACTGTATGTTCAAACATGGGGTGTGCTTTAGCTCAGCAGCAAGCCTATACTCTCCCAAAATGAGAACAGTTCTAGAGCAAAGGCCAGCAGCTAAAAGTATTATTTAACAACTTTTGCTTTAAATTGACTTGCATCTTTTCTCCTACTGCATGCCTAGTGAGGTAGGTGTCCATGTGCATTGGAAACCAAGTGGCATTATAACAAATAGCTAATGTCAATTTTAGGACAGTTTAACCCAGCTAATGGTAGTAGTGATAATTTTGAAATATGGGTGAAGTTTGAAACAACCATTCGGTATTGTATTAGCTGATGTTTTTTTAAGGGTTACACAGACTTCCTACAAGCTGTCCCCAAACCAAAAAGTGCAGTTTTTAATCTTCCATTTCCTCCCTTTTGGAGATAGCATTGATCGCATTTTGCAAACATAGGAACTTCCCCAAGGACACTCTTAAGACTAATCAGTTCTGTGTTAGTCCTTGCTTATATAAAGGTTCAGAGTAAGAACTCTAAGACTATCTTTTGGTTTAGTCTGTAAAAGAAGCAAGCCAAATGGCAGCTGTTACCGGCACCACAGAGTTAACATTTCCACGGAGGATACAAGGAGAGCTGCAGCTGGGGAGAATTGTTCAGGCAGATCAGCAAGTCTGTGTGGTCCTTCAGAATTGCCAAATCGTACATTAATACTGCAGGAGGAATCCTCTGGGTTTGCTATCAGTCAAGTGGCCCACTGCAAACGGAGATCTCCCTGTGATCAAGTGGTGCGCAAAACAACGTATTAAGCTCGATTTTGTGCTTTACACAGGAGACATATTCCAATTGTGGATGTTAAACCTCGGCTGTAGTAAACTTGAGTGTAGTAATGTGTTATTACAATGCATGTTACACCGTCTACCCATTGCTGGAAGCTGCACCGGAGGAATTGATCTTGCCAGGCTGTATGGCTTGAAAATGAGACACAGTCTGACAAAAGGCAGGACATATAATGTGGTTCAGTATCCCTTCTGCCAAATCTGTGCTTGCTGCTACTTGTTCCTGCTCCCACTCTTGTTTTTAGCCTGAAACGAACTGAAGAGGCGGCTTCAGCTGCTCTCTGTGTTTGGTTGGAATGAGAGAATAACACCTGAGTTTCACTACTGCTTTAAACTGAAGAGTCCTGCTATTTGAATCTCTCAGGAGTTTGGAGCGTAACTGCATTGCAGTGCACAAGTTCAGCATAGGGGGAAAAAAACCCAACAAACTACTGTACTAGATCAAATACGTACCTAAAATAAAGGTGCCAGATTCTATCAGGACAATTTTGGACACACAACAGTGCTAGGGCAGGCTCCTAGACAAATGCCAGGACGAGGGAGTTTTGGCGTTTGCCGTTGGAAGAGACAGCAGAGGCCGATGGGGTTATGCCATCAGCTGATAAACTGGACTGAGTTGCCAGAGAACCCAGATTTTACCACCCTTTGAAGGTAGGCAGGTCATTTAATGAAGATGAGATAACCATGGCCAGAGTTCCCTGTGTAAAAATACTCCCAAAGGACTGCGTTAAGTGTTACGGTCAAGTTACGAATGTTTCCAGTCGGTTTTAAATAGGGAAGAACCTTAAATAGTTTAAAATGCTTGTTGACACAGAAATTATCCATTTCGGTTACTCTATACTGAAGCTTGAAGCAGGGGGAGAAAGAACTTTGTGGATCAACTCTTACAAATTATCCATTTCGGTTACTCTATATTGAAGCTTGAAGCAGAGGGAGAAAGAACTTTGTGGATCAACTCTTCCTCTGTATAAACCCACTAATTTAGTATTATTTATTGCTTCTTGCTCAGGACTGTCAGAATAATTCTTAATGTTTCAGCTTTGCATATGAAATAATGGCTCTGTAGAAGGCAAGAATTAAGAACAACATGGCAGCTTAATGAAACAAAATCTAAAGCGGTATTTCTTCATGCATAAAATTAAGTGAAAATGAGAGCCTTTTTTTTCCCCCGTTAACTAAAAGGTTCCTGCCCGCTAGATGGAGCCTTTTCTCTTTCGCTACCAGATTCTCTTCTGTGCCAGGATCACAGTTTGAAATGCTCAAGTGAAAAAATGCAAAACCTATACATTGGTACTGCTGATTCACGTGGCTCAAATGGACCAATTCCAAGTACTTGGTTTCACAACCAGGCAACATTTCAACGAACATAATTAAAAATGCATGCTTTCCATTCACTAAATGAATAGTAATTAGTGGGACAAACTAAGTTTAAGCCAGTAAAGGCAATAAGAGGATGTGCATACCTCCTGCTTCTAGGAAAACTTCCTGCTGTGTCATGCATTATGATGTGAAGTTTACGAGGTCAAAGAAGTGGGACATTTTATCAGTTCATACTTGATCCATTTCCCCTTTTTTGAATGGTTTTCAGTCTTATTTGTTAAGTCCTAGCAAGAGCTTATGCCTTGGGAAAAAACCTATTACAAAACCCACCCCTGTTCTTGCTTTTGAGATTGTTTTTCTGAAGTGCTTTCCAAAGAAAACAACCTTTTTATTTTCTAATATTTAGTATTTATAGTTTTGATGGGTACCAAAATGATTGTAATAAAGGATTTCACATTATGATTTTTTTGAAAAATGCTAAAATCTCAAAAACTCTAGGATTTTTAGAATTCTCTAATTGAAATAAATTTTGGTTTGGATCACTGAAGATTTTCTTTTAGACAAATAGTAGTCTTTTGTTTTTCACAAGAACCTTCAAGAGCTGATTTAGGTAAAACCAGAAGTGATTCATCGAAAACAAGACCCCCCCCTTCCAGCAGCGTTAGACATTTTTTTTCCCCCTGAAGTTTCGCTTAGTGCTGTGGTTCCAATCCAACTGTGTTTACTGATAATAGAGTGCTGATGAGAAAAATACTTCACCTGGCTCCTCCAATGTAGCTATACTACTTTGTATTGCTCTCCATCTATACAGTCAGTGTGTCTCGGTGGCACTGAGCCTAGGTGGCCATGCCTTCAAGGAAAGCATGGGGGTCATGAGTGGTTACATGAGAAGGTAATGAAGTACCTGTGGTTTTGAAGTCTGACAGCTCTGGACTTCAGAACTAAAAGCAAACGCTACTCCTGCCTTTTGGGGAG